ACAAGAGTGTCCCACAAGAGTGTCCTACAAGAGTGTCCCACAAGAGTATCCTACAAGAGTGTCATTTGGACATATGTAGCTTTTGGAACGTGTTTGCATTCGGGTTCGTGGGCTCCATCTTGTTTTTTTCGAGAGAGTCTAAAGGACTTTCACACACACATATAGAAAGTCAAGCGGTTCAGTTGGGTCAAAGGACTTCCATGAGGCCGTTGTGACGTTCCGATAGCCTTGGCTTGATCCGTCAGCCTTCGCTTCCATTAATTACGTGTTGTGCTGTGCTCGTTCCGCGTTCGCTTTGGCTCAAAAGATCAGGCTTTGTGATGCGCTCTGATATCGAACTAGAACTATCCCTCAGCTATGGCCACAATACCCGAGTTCAAGGATAAATTTTTCGAGGGCGAGCCAGGGCTCCTTGCAGTTTTTGACTATGAGTATGACGAGATCATTGACTTCTATCAGAGATTGCGCTGGATGCAGTTGATATTTTGCCCCCCTGCCTGGCTCTCTGTCGTGTGCTGCGGCCCATGCTTTTTGAACCAGAATATTGAGTGGGACAACAGATCCCGCCACCTTGCCCTCACCGTGGATGGCATCAAGTTTGTCCATGCCAAACGGCAGTTTCTTTGTGGCCTGTCATGCAGTGACAAAGGAAAAGAGTCAAAGACGGTCCCCTATGACAAAATCACGGATTGTGATGTTCAGGAACCCGCGGGCACAGCATGCTGCTGTTTCATTCCGAACGTGCTCTACAAGGTCACTGTGGATACGGCTTCAAGCGGAAGAAACAAAGAGGGTGTGCCACAACATGAACTGGAAATCATCGGCTTAAAGCATCCCCACGAATTCAAACAAGCAGTTTGGAGCATCAAGCGCGGGGAGCTGCCCTCCGGTGCCTTGCTCAGTCAACTTCCAGCCCGGCCTGAGCAAGCCCCGAGCCAGAGTGGGATGTCTGACATGACCACGCCGCTCCTGACAGATATTCGTGAAGAGCTTCGGAAGATGAACTCACTTTTGGCCACAAAGTATGGCGCAACGTAAAGATCATGCAGGTAGCAGACCGCTGATGTCTTTGTGATCTTGGTTTAAGGACAATCAAAACGGATGCTCGGGAGAACAAGACAGGCTGATTGCATCTGATTGCTGCAGATAGGGGTTGCGAGGGATATGCCAAGTCATGTCATGCGGGACATAACGTTTGCCTTGTTTATCGGGTGTTGAGACATGTTCCTTGCGCAGCTTCAGGAGCACTAGACACACTGGACTTCCAAGGCAGCTTGGATAAAGCAAAGAGTGGCACAGCGCTGGATGCATGGTTCGATACCAATCTCTTCAGGTCTTTCTTGCGAAGCTATGCACTGGTAATCACGCGTTGCCATGCGTTAGCCTGAATTGTCATTGCTTTAGCAACAAAGTGTTGGGGTGGGAGCTCAATCTGATTTGGCGAGTGGTTTTTCTTCATTGTAAGGAAGTGGGTCCGCTGTCGAATTTTTTGAGAGGCTGCTGGTTGCTGCTGTGCTGCTTTGCTGTACCTTTGTTGGTTGGGTTCATACTGCTGCATACTACCTTCAGCCAAGTCCTGTCGCACTATTCCTATTCTTCTGCAGCATCTTTGAGGTCCTTTTGAAATGCCCCTGAGAGAAGTCGTGCCCGAGGTGTGCTGAGCAGCAAGGTGGCCAGAACCCCAGAGGAGGTTGATGGGCTGCGAGCGCTTTGACTTTTCTCCAGGGCTGCTGGAGCACCTTTTGAACTTTGGTGGGCGTGTTATACACATGGAACTGACACCACACAGAGGGTCAGAATAATTGACGGGTAGACAGTAGATGATTTATGATTTTCCAACATATTATGATTACTTTCCATAGCTTTTGTGGTTTGCTCTTTCTGTTTGCGTTTCTTGTTTCATTATGTTTTGTTTGGGAGGCTTGGGATGACCAGAAATTGTTCCCCTTGATCTCAGTGATCAGTGATGGGTAGTTCTCATCGACCAGACTTTGCCACCTTAGCAGGCAAGACAGGAGATCTCCTGTTGGAGTCTATGGTATGTGTTTCAGGCTTATCAGGTTGAGGTTGGTGATGTTGAAGACTGCTCCATCGTACCTCCTGTCTACAAGACGTGTGCCATGTGCACGTAGACCTCCTCAAGTCACACAATGCTGGCTTTGATACTTGTGGAATATCTTTGGGGGTCCCACACCCGTTCGAGATGGCTTTCATGAAAGAAGTGCTCTTAGAGTGTAGAAGAAACATACAGAAAACAACCTTGCATCATAGGCGAGGTCACGGTCGTGACGAGCGAGAAGGACAAGGAGGATTCGCAGGTGCCTCTCAGTATGCAAGATGTAAGATGCAATTGTCAATTTCGTTGAATAGCCTCACAAGCTACGTAAGAGAGGTTTAATATTGTTCATCAAAGTTCAATCATATGACTATTTGTTTGTTGTCTTTTTCTTGTGACCCATTGCAGGTTCACTTTGGAAAAGGCTTTCAAGTGCTGAACAGTTTCAGGCACCCCTGCGTCAGGCGCCTCGCAAGCGCATCAATGGACGAACAGAGAAGCCTCTACCCAAGTCCCTGAAAATCAAAGAAGCTTAGCAGGCATTTGGTGATTACTGCATCCCAAATCGTCTCCACCAACGTTGTTTGAGATCCACACTACTTGCCACGCTGTTCCATACAGTTTCTTACTCTTACTTTGTAATGTAGTTTCCCCTTCTAAAAGTATATACAGCTAAAGCTATTCATGGCAGAGGCATTTGGCCGGCATTATGATCATGGCAAGAGTCACACATTGCGTGAACAGTGCTCTTCAAGACCGTGTTTGCCTCCTTCCTGTATTTGTAAGGAGAAAGCAGAGGATAAGGAGATGGGGCCTCTGGGTAACTGGCCAGCAGTGGCGCTTCGAAGCATTCCGGTTCCCAGATCAACAGTTTGATACAGAGTCCTGGAACGTTCAGCTTGTTTGTTAATGAAGCTCAGCCGAGGGGCGAATCTGTGGTTTGGAGGTGTAGGGGGGGTGATACGTAGCACAAGGATCACGACTGGAACATTTTCAGCATTGAAAGACCCAAGGCAAAGGAGCCTTGGCACTTTTTGGCGGTGGGCTCTTGGTGGCTGCTCTGCTGTTGTTGCAAGGGATGATGGGAGGCCACATACGTAGATTGTTCACGCACCATGCCCACAGGTTTCGGTAGAGCTTTGTGTGTGTGTGTGTGCAGCCAGCTCAATGGACGTACTATTCAAAGTATCCAAAGAATGGGGCATAGATGAAGGGAAAGTGCGCGGATAGCGTCGCCATGTGTTGGTCCAGTGCTACGTTATTTGTTCTTCCCCGGATGATTCACATGACCTTTGCCTGTGGAGGTCGAGAAAAAACAATAGTGGCTTTATTGTTACTAGTAGTAAGGCCAGGAGCCCCTAGTAGCGTCCTTGCTCCTAGTAGCGATGCCCTTGTTCCTAGTAGCTTCTTGTTGACCTTTGCCTGTGGAGGTCGGGACATTGATATGCCACGAGACTCGTTCCTTGCCAGCACTTGACCTTCCCCCGAGTGGAAGAACAGCTTGAGCAGGTCATCGTGATCGGCTTTCAGTCTGTTCAAAACAGCCCGGTGATGATTGTTTTGCACAATTATTCCAGCCACGATTCTGCGGTCCCCTTGCCCGAAGTCCATGGTTGTCGGTGAAATTTAATGTTCAAAACAATGGTGGGTGAGCGTTCCCTAGTTGGTGACAATCCATTTCATGGTTGGTTGTTCCCACATCTATGACTGCCGAAAATTTGGGAGATTCTTCCAACGAGGTACTACATCTCCTCCAGCAGCTATGTGATCCAAACCAACCGCGACGAGACCGGGGAAATCCGAAGCAAAGTGGACGAGAATAGCGGCGTTTGGACCAACATCCCCGGGCTGCAAGGCCTGTTTGTCCATTTGCCAGATCAGGGCAGCGAGAATATGCGAGAATGGCTGCCTCACGTCGATGCAAGGGCCCGTTCACAGTGTTCATGGCCATGAAGCAATGGTCTTCAGCTTAAAAACATGGACGTGTCACCGAGCAAGCCAAACAGATGCAGAGCACTTGCTACTCTACATATTATGGTTAATTTCAGCGGAATGCCAGAATGCTGAAAATATTGTCGGCAAGGCAAAGGGTGTGGCCTGAAATGGGGACTCTGCATGAGTTTCAAACCGACCTAATTACCGTGGAAGGTTTATATCACCACCTGGGATGGTTCTGGGTCTTATTTCCAACTCGGTCGTCAGCAGAGTACGATTATTGTAAGGGCTCCGCCCGGGTGCCGCCGACCCCTTTTCATCTCGAGGGTTTGGCGGTTGAACCTTGACAACTTCCTGGGATTCAACAGCGAGACTTGGATGGGCTTCACACCAATGCTGGCATTCAACCAGCTGCCGAGAAGAGGGCAAGGCTGCGGTGAGGCTCTGGGGAGCGTTTGAAGCCGAGCCAAAATGCCTAACGTTGCCTTCGGAAGTCCATAAGAAGAGAGGAGGGAGGCTTCGGACAGGCCACAGAGAGGCCGCAAGAGGCCTGCCGGCTGCCGAGAGGCTTTTGAAGCCGGTCCAAAATGCCTAACGTCGCTTTCGGAAGCCCATAAGAAGAGAAGAGGCAGGCCTGCCAGCTGCCGAGAAGAGGGCAAGGCTGCGGTGAGGCTCTGGGGAGCGTTTGAAGCCGGGCCAAAGTGCCTAACGTTGCCTTCGGAAGCCCATAAGAAGAGAGGAGGCAGGCTTCGGACAGGCCACAGAGAGGCCGCAAGAGGCCTGCCGGCTGCCGAGAGGCTTTTGAAGCCGGTCCAAAATGCCTAACGTTGCGGCTTCGGACAGGCCACAGAGAGGCCGCAAGAGGCCTGCCGGCTGCCGAGAAGCTTCGGACAGGCCACAGAGAGGCCGCAAGAGGCCGAAAAGCTTTTGAAGGCGGTCCAAAATGCCTAAACGTCGCCTTCGGAAGCCCATAAGAAGAGAGGAGGCAGGCTTCGGACAGGCCACAGAGAGGCCGCAACAGGCCGGCCAGCTGGTGAGGCCTCGGACAGGCCTTTGGAAGTGCTTGGAAGGGTTCTGCTAGGCTTGGCCAACTGCTGCATCCTGCGCCTTTGGAAGTGCTTGAAGGGTTCTGCTAGGCTTGGCCAACTGCTTCACCCTGCGGTGTCCCAGGCGCCTCCCCGCCTAGGCTTTGGCTATAGGCCGGGGTCGGCGGATATATAATTTGATTCTGAGCAACATTGAGTAACCCTTCTTGGCTCAGACAGGTCGCTCCGGTCCACCTCCTGAGCGAGCTCGAGAGCAGCTCAGAGCCACTGAGGAGACGTGGCCGGGCTTTAGGCAAAATCCACAGAGAGAATTGGCGTTCATTCCACAGTGTGTTCAGATGGGCAGTCAGGTGTGCAATCAAGTCTGCAAAACTTGGTTTGGAGGGTGATCCTTTCTCAGGATGCTCGCTTTGGTTTTTTGAAGCCGAACATTCTTGGATCGCCCAAAACCCATAACCCAATTCGTTGTTGCGTGAGAATGCACCAGGAGAACGAAAACTGTATTGAACAGCCACATAGTAGCTACAGTAGCTTTTAAATTACAGTAGCTATAATAGATTGTTTCCTTCTTCCTTTCTTGGGTTCACATCACACTTTGAAGGAGCAAATGGACAAGGCCTTGCAACAAATGAACCGAGAGATGGAAGAAGCGTTCCAATTCAGGCCCACCGAGCAGAAGACAAAAGACCGATAACTGGACATCAGATAGCCAGAATCCATCAAAATCCTTGCTTTGACTCGCATTGGGTGTGGTTTCTTCAGCATATGAAATGGTGTCACCGACCAAAACGATCCAAAAAGGGCCTTGCGGCCTTGACCACCTTTGATTGACTTTGATGTGTTCCATTCTACAGTGGGCAGGTATGGCTTCTGAGACGAATCTTCCACGACGTGCCTCCAAAGTGAGCGTTTGAGCCCTCCGGGCCCTTCACGTTTTGCGGATGTGACATACCTGCAGATGACGCCTGCCCCACATACAGGAGTTGCTCATGACTCCTCAAGTCGTAGAAAGTTTAAGTCAAATCAGACTTACTCTCGATTGAAACGTGTTTGCTTGAGATTAGCCAATCAGTACGGTCAAGTGCATACAAAAGTACAAGTGCATCCTTTTAGTACCACTGAGCAACCTTCTGGGGCGCATTGAAGTAGCCTTGGTTTCTCTGGAGCGTCCATGGTGGCATGATATCATGATACATTCAAGCCACAGAACGTCACATGCTGAAGCCATGTGTCGAGCCACATATGGGGCCAAGCACTCCAAGCACCAGTTTTCAAGACACAACTTGCGTGTTTTGATACAGCAGATACAGACTCTGTACAGTGCCGGGGAAGAATGGATGTGTGACACTGTGTGTGTGTGTGTGTCAAGTTCGCAGAATTCCTTGTGGGGTCAGTACCGCTATGAGCTGTACCATGCTGGGCTTCTGGCTTTTGACTTTGTCATACCAACGCTACAGGCGACAAAGCCCAGGAACAGGATACTTAGATAGTGTGTCTTGTATGTGTAGTGCAAAGATGGACTTGTGACTTGCCCAGTCCAGGGAAGTCCACTCCCCATGCGTTGCCCCAGCAAGAGGGATTGAACATAACAGGACTATGCTGCGGCCACTAGCTGCCTGTTGGAAGGGTCAGTGCCTTGGGTTTTTTTGATCATTTTGCTGCTGGTTCATGGAGTGTTCTTTTTTAGCATCATTTTGCCTTGGTCATGTTTAATCATGGACAACCAACAACAATCAAGAACGGTTGTGCTAGGTAGAGTAGTCCTTGCCCTGCTGTACTAGATATATAAGTCCCTTTCAGAGATTCTGGCCCAGAGCAATCTTTGCATCTCGCTCAGCTGCATGGTTGGCCTCGTGGAATGAAATGAGCAATCTGAGACTCTGAGAGGATCTCTTGTGCCAGATTGTCAGGTGATTCTCACTTCTTTCTTCTTCTTCTTCTTCTTCTTCTTCTTCTTTATAGATTCATCATCCTTTGCTATCGCATTGCAAACCTCCCTACATGATTGCATGTCTTTCTCAGAACTGTCTCTTTCGTAGAGCCCTGCCCAGGCTTCGATACAGAGATCCATTAGACTTGCTCCAATTTCTCCGTGGTGTCTTGCAGGAGGCTCCAATGGGTGGGATGGGCACAAAATCCCATGCACTTCAACTCTCCAGAGCCCATAGCTTGGAGGGATGGGAATGTAGCTTCCCCCATGTCCAGAGAGGTGGACAGCGGTTGTCTTCTTGGAGTGAATTGCTGGGTTGATGCCAGGGCATTGCCAGCAGCATTCAATGAAGGAAGAGCATAGGTTTTGTAAACGAAAATCAATGTTGCCATGGGGGCGGCTGATTTGCTCGCTTGCAGCTGCTAGAAATTATCCCACTATCTGTCCCAAGTCCGATCATGGCATTCACCAGGTCATTAAGAGTGAGGAGCTTGCAATTGAGGCTGCCAAGGTGAAAGCCTGAGGGTCTTAAGGGTGCTCAAGTCACATTTGAGACTCCACGGCCTGGGTGCGTCAGTTTTAGGGAATGCTCCAACATTTGTTCCATGAGGTAGAATCTGTGACGCAATCTGTGAAACAGAGGACTTGCATGTGCAAAGAGCTCAGCTGGCCTAGGAATCGCGTGCAAAGCGTGGTGGTGGCTTCAGCTTGCAGGCTCGGGCAACAGCTTTTGCCACAAAAGCAGAGACCCATGTGCAGGCTCTACAAAGCTCCGCGTTGCGAGTTTTCTTGCTTAACTCGTTTGATGCCTGCGAGTGGATACCTTTTGTGTGGCCTGAGTCATTGGGTGTGGCAAACAGCTGATGACCATGGAATCATGATGAATCATGTGTTCTGGGTGACAAGCTTTTCTCAACACGACGGGTCAACTCGTACACACCTCGAGCGGCTGTCAGTCAGAATGGTCGGGATTGAGTCTACTGTGCCAGCTAGACTGACACTACTGTCGGTATTGCAGCATATTCAGACTGATACTTAGTAGTGAAATGCAGTGAATGAGGAATGAGTCCCCGATATAGAGATTGTTTAAAGCCATTCCCTCATTCCTCAATAATAAGCACCAATCAGTATTTCGGGGGGGCATTTGTGGACGATTTGAGTGCAGACACCCTCTTGCAGGCTGAAGCTGAAGCCGATGCAGAAAAGACAGAGGCTGGGCGGCTGGGCCCCGGTAACTTGCAGTTTGCCAGCTTTTACAGTGGGGTTTCTTCCTCATTCGCCTCTGTCATTCCAGTGTTTGCTGGGTGAAAAGGTGCTTTGCAATGTAAACCGCCACTGCATCACATGGAATCTTCATGGCCCAGCGGCACCCACAACAAAGAGGAGGGACCACATACCCGGTGGTGCGCTTCGGAGTGATCGAGAATCTGTATCTTTGAACATCCGAAGAATAGCTTATAAACAGTAAGCGTAAGGCCAGGAGCCCCTAGTAGCGTCCTTGCTCCTAGTAGGGATGCCAGGAGCCCCTAGTAGCTTCTTGCTACCATGCGGCTCCTGTGTAGCTTTCCTTTGGAATGCTGCGCATCCATCGGATCTACTCGACACAGCCAGGTCAGTGGTGCAACTCGCCGTTGGCGGCGGACCGTGCGGGCGGTTTTCAATGCCGAGGCCCGGGGTAAAGTATTGGATAAATACGACTTGCGGCAAGCTGCCAGGAGTACATTGGTATAAAGATAGATAATGAAAATCCGACAGCATGAAAGCAAGGCAGCGAGGCATGAGGTCAGCGGTGGTGGACATGCGCACTCACCGCAGGGCGCCCTTTGGCACAAGGGAAAAAGCGCCATCCCGCCGACGCGCCGCCGTCCGGTTTTTGATGGTAGGCGGAGCTGGGATAAGGTCCAGCTGCTGCCTTGCGCTGGCCTGACCAGCGCAGCTTTGCGCCTAGCTCCTCTCGCTGCGCTGCGACGGCGCTGTGCAGCCTGGCGGCATCCGCCTCGGCCGGTGCCTTTGCCTACGACACTGCTGAGCTCTTCGGCATCCACCACGAGCCCCTCGATGGCATCCAAGCTGGAAGTGGATAGGTATGGAGTCCCGCAGTATGCGGGCGAAGCTGACCTCTTCGAGGAATACTGTGAGCGAGCTTGGGATCGCCTCCCCGGTTCATCTCAGAGCCGGCCTGTCAGGAGCAGCCTATGAGGCAGTCCGGAAGCTCGAGCACACCAAGCTCAAGACCAAAGATGACAAGGGCAGTCCTACAGACGCTGGAATGCGCCTCTTCCTGGAGACCCTTCGCGAGAACATCGCGGCCGAAGCTCCGGTGAAGATCAATGAACTCTTCCTCAAAGCGTTCTATGCCCCGTCGGTCTGGCGGAAGACTACAGAGACGATGCAGCAGTTCATCATCCGCCGTGAGCAAGAGTTCCAAAGGCTCGAGGAGACCCTGTTAGGTGGAGGAGTCCCTGACCACATCAGGGCAATGATGCTGCTGCTGTTCGCCGGCCTGGACCACAAAGAGCAGCTCAACGTGTTGTCCAGCTGCGGCAACGACTATGACTTCAAGAAGATCTCCCATGCACTGAGGCTCCAATTCCCGAACTCCGTCGGCAATGTCGTCGTCAAGAAGGACCTGCTCGGCTGGCAGCAAGGTAGCAGAAACATCAACACCTTGCACAACCTCTCGCCCCAACGCCAGAAGTGGAAGGTCACCACTCGTGGCAAGAGCTATGCCATGGCCGTTGATGGAGACGACAACTATGAGGACCAGCCTGATGAGGACGCCTTCATTGAAGACACTGCTCAACCCGAGGAGGAGGACGCCTTCTATGAGGACAACACTCCATACAGCTACTCCGACGATGAGACCCTTGACACCTACCTCCAGGACTTCCCAGAAGAGGATATGGAGTTGGCTGAAGCACTCGCTACCGCCGTCCAGAACAAGCACAAGAAGAAGACACCTTCTTCCACATCCTCGAGCACTACCAACAGCTTCCCGTTCAAGGCCCAAGGCGAGATGTCATTTGACGCCAAGGCCAGAGAGAACAGGAAGAATGCCGTGAAGTTCCTGAAGTCCGTGACCCCCTGCACCAGTTGCGGCCGCAATGGCCATTGGGGTGATGATGAATGTCCCAACACCCGGAAGAAGGGAAAAGGAAAAGGGAAGAAAGGCTCATCGCCGAAGAAGAAGCCCTCCAGCACCTTCTTTGTGCTCCATGACACGCTCGAGTCCGAGGATGAGAAACCTCAGACTGGTGACACCATGACTGGCTATGTCCATGTCTCCAACGCCTCTCCGCAGTATGTGTACACCCAAGAGCCCAATGCACTTGCCGGGAATGTCATGAACCCGGAATATGACAAGATCCCTGCGTATGTCACCACCAAAGAGCCCATGGACGTTGCAGAGAATGCCATCACCAAGTTTCACTCCAATGCCACTCCTGAGTATGTCCTCGCCACTACCGAGCTCTATGGTGGCGATGTGAGAAAGGAGGGCAGTTTCACCGATTGCCTTGCAACATCAGCGCACCACGAAGTGCTGATGGTACTGAAAGAAGTCCCTATGTGTGAGCATTGCAGCTACAATGGCGGCAACGAGAACAAGTACTTCCGTGGCGCCAACGGCCACTGTCGCTACCTGACCTGCAAGGAGCGCGAGTGCGACAAGACTGTTCTCTCCTGCAGACGAAAGGAACCAGCCGAACTATGGCGCTACCTGGTCGTCGTGGCCCTGTGCACCAAGTTCGGAACAGCAGCACGGTCTCGCGAGCTGTTCTCCAATGTCTGCAGAGTTCGAGGTGAAGCACTTGAAGAACGTGAGAAGAAAGCAGCCATGAGGCCGACTAAGCCTCCAACAGCTCCAGGATCTCCACCATGGCCCCTTGTTGAGCCTTCACCATCTTCACCAGCTTCATCGCCGTCTACCAGTACAACTGGATATC